TGATTTCGCAGTTTGAATCGACAGGAGGTCGACATGGGAGTCAAAAAGACATCGATGTCGATGTCAATTTCGATCTCATTTCGAACCCACTTTTCGACGTCGAATCGACGTCGGGTCGACAAATTGTTTCTCACTGGGACTGTAATAAGTTGACCACCGTAATATTCGTATTACAATAACTACACGCGTGTGGTTCATCGAATGTAATATTTTCGTGAGGGATTACAATAACTACATAAATTACTATCCCTAGCCCGTGCGTCTTTTTCGTAAGGGCATATAATTCCATATAATATGTCATAACATTTCTTTTGGCTGTATATATAATTGTAACGCGATATATGATAATTTGTACTGTGACCACGTTCTCGCGAGGGCGGGACAACTTCGTCGCTTGTCCGCAAAGCTCAAGTCCGATTTAATCGCGTAGATAGATTTACGCTTCGACGAATTAATACTCGGATACCTCGTCGCCACGCGGCGGCGAGAACTGGGCGCTAGGCACGTTATAGAGAGTGCCACTCTGGTCGCAATATGCGATGGTCGAGAATACGTTGACTCAGTGCTAAATTATAACAGATGTAACGATGCGTCCCGGAAAACGCATCGTCCCGGCGACAAACAGCCGATACCGCCCGAACGAACAGCAGTCGGGCGACGAAACGGCGCGAACGCGCCCCATTGTAATTCGGCAAACGCCGCTAGACGTTTAAACGTTGCACGTTTAAACGTTAGTACAGGAGACATAGCGCAGACGCGCTGCGCTACACGTCTCCCCCACCACCGCGCCAAAACCAGCAACCCGAGGGGTATAAAAAGTCGAGGCAAAGAGCGCCCAGGAGCTGTCGTCTACGAGCCATCCGACCGCTCCGGTTACGAGACGAAACCTGCTTCCTAGAAGTAGTCGAGAAGTCACGAGTCTTGGCTTCGGTCTAGCAGTTCTGGACGGCTACCTCGAAATCCTCTCGCCACCCTCTTGGCTCTCGCTCTAGGGTAACGAGTCT